AGGGGCTCTCCCGGGTCCCGATCGGCCGTGCCGGGCACCCCCGCACCCCGAGAGGCCGTGCCGGGCTCCTTCAGGCTCCCCCGCGCCCCCGGCCCGGCCCCGCACTCACCACACGGAGGCTCCGCGCCAGCAGCAGCACCCCGGCCACGGCCGCGCCGGCGATCAGGCCCTGCAGAGGAGAACGGGGCTCAGCCGGGCCCAGCCCAGCTCAGCGGGCCCCCGGTCCCCGCAGCAGCCCCGGTACCCGCCCCAGCCCCGCTCCCGCCCCAGCCCCGGTACCCGCAGCAGCCCCAGGTGCGCGTCCGCCCATTCGGAGAGCCGGGCCAGGGCCAGCGCCGCTCGCTCGGAGCCGCCGCCGCCCCGCTCCGGCATCGCCGCGTCCCGAGCGCCCCCGCGGGAGCGCGGAAACATCGCCCGGTGCCACCCCTGCCCTGGCAGCGCCGCTGCCCCGAGCAGCCCCGCCCGCGACACTGCCAGGGATCCGGGGACAGCCACAGCTGCTCTGCGCACCCTGTGCCAGGGCTCACCACCCTCCCAGGGAACAATTCCTGCCCAATATCCCATCCATCCCTGCCCTCTGGCAGTGTGACCCCATTCCCTGTGTCCTGTCCCTCCATCCCCTGTCCCCAGTCCTTCTCCAGCTCTCCTGAAGCCCCTTCAGGGGCTTTAGGCCCGGGAAGGGGCTCTGAGGCCTCCCTGGAGCCTTCTCCAGGCTGAACTTGGGCTTTGAACTCCTCAAACCTGTACCACGCCTCCTCTGACCATGCAGATGCTCCTTCCTTCTAGTCCTTTTAAATTTGGTGTGTTCTTGGTGTTTTGGGGCTTTTTGGCGGTTTGGGTTTGCTTTTTTTTTTTTGTTAAATAATTAAGATGTGCATTAATTCAAATATTTAAAAAAAAATAACTTTAAAACAGCATTGGTAGAAAAAAAAAGTAGCAAGATCAAAATTTTATTGSTTCTCTTCAGCAGCCTGCTAACGGGCTGGCACAGCAGTAACATTTCCAATTTCCAAAATAGCTACATAGATTAAAAGCACTAATCCAGCATTTGTTTCACCAGTTTGGAAAAAGTAAATATTTATTTTAGRTCACATTTCATATCTATTCCTATTGATTTGGAGCTTATGTGTAATTTTGATGTTGAGGTAATTTAATTATTCATAAGCAATCCTCAACCCATCTTTTTAGTAACAAGTTTCACTGACATCTTCAGAAATAGTGAAGCAAAATTGCAAAGTGAAAGCCAACTGTTATACATCTGTACATTTCAATTCCCAGCTTCTGCACTGGAAGTTCTTCCTCRACATCAGAAAAGTTGAAACAACCCCTCTAGCTATGGACAAGATGCAATTAAGTGAGTGTCCCATGGTTGCAGTGAGGATACAGAACTGAAGTGCCTCATCCAGAGTTAACACAGTGGAGCTGGTGGGACAGGGATTGRAAGGTGCAGCAATAAAGCTGATACATTTTTGTGTTGATTTTGTGCTCATGCAGAGGGGAAATTGGAAGACTTTCAGCTCAGGCAGTAAAACCGACCGTGACTTCATGGAGCAGGGCTGATTTTGCTGTGCCTGAAACAAACTGTGAGAAGTGTGTCCCTCGAGGAGATGGACAGAGGAGCAGAGGCAATGTCCAGGGAAGCACAGGGTCAGTGTCCTCTTCCAGACCCCTCCCTACTCCTGACACCAAGGAGACCCTTYGCACACCCACCCGCCCCTCCAGTCACTCCAAAGGTGGCATTGGTCACTTTTCCCCCAAAACAAAGTGACAAAAGATCCCAACCCCTCTCCCAGCCCAATCCTACAAATATTGAGAAGAAACACAGACTGGCAGAGAAACCCAAGGGATGTTTAATAGTTTTCCTTTTTAACAGCGATGTTCCACGTACACCCAACGGGGTCCGAGTGCCTCTCCAGCACCTGTGGGTCCCTAAGGCACTCAGGARGGAACTCAGTGGGAGAAATCCAGCGGGAATGCTTCCACCACGTGGCACCAGCAGCAAATTCAGAAGCAGCTCTGCCACAGGACTGCACCCCTTTGGTTCGTGTGAGGGTGAGTTCTGTACCAGCTCACCGGGAATTTGGCAACTTTGTCATCACCAACTCACTCTTCTTACCCCCAACTGGGAGAAGTCACCCCGTCCCCACTGCTTTTGAGAATGAATATTCAAACTTTAGTAACACAGTTTGGAAAACCACTGGATTGGTTTTCCTCTATCAACTCACCCCCTTCCAAAGGCCCACATGCCCTCCCTTGGGAAGCACCTCCAGTTCCAGCTGCAGGACTCAAGGCTCAGAGGATTGTGCGTTACTCCAGTCCTACCTTACAGCATTTTGCCGTCAAGAAAGTACCTTGAACATAAATCAAACTGCCTTGAAACAGCGGAAATAAATTAAACAAATGTAATTTGTTTATAAAAATATTTTCTTATAAATCTTTAAAGCTTATAAAAGCCAGAAAATACATTTAAAAGAATCTCCAGAATGTTTCATCCTTTGAAGCGTGGTTACAGTTCAGAAAGTGAGAAGAAGCAAAGCCCACAGACATCTCACACTGATCTTCCCACCAGGAATTCTCCAGTATCATGCTTAACCTTCCAAGTCAGAATGCCTCAGGCATCCTTCCCAGGTCAGCTGCCCTGTCAGATTCTTTCTGTGCGGAAATAAAAGCTTGCACTCAGCTGGCAATGCTGCTGCTCCAGAGCCACAGCATGAGCAGCTTTCCCAGAGGTGCCCTATGGAATCACAGCTCTGGAGTCAGGGATAAGCATGGAGCACTGAGGGGCTGCTCTAACMATTCCTTTCTGAACTGATCCTGTGCTTTGGGGAGGGCAGTGCTGCCACACACAGCCCCTGCCTCGGCCACAGGGATCTCCCAGGCGTGGCACAGAAACACRGAGATTCCTGGGTGCTGATTAGGGGATATGTCTGTAATAAAACTAAAACCACCTTGCTGGTCCATCCAACACCTAAGTGCATCAATTGCTCCTCTTGCACTTCCACGAAGACTGTCCTTCGTCCTGCAGCTTTTTGAATTTTGGTCCCAGGAAGAACCACCAGGCAAAGCCCAGGATGACGCAGATGACGGACTCCACGTAGTAACCGTCCAGGGTGGTGACACAGGAGCCCCCAGCTTCTGTGCACAGCTGAAACAGGAGCACACGTTCAGGCACTGGGMACTTTCAGACAGCACTCAGGAGCTGCTGGGGTCTCCTTGCTCTTGGTTATGACTAAATACAGTTTACTCTTTGTTGTTTCCTATGCAGCTGGTCAGAGAGGCTTTTGACTTCAGCAGCATTATGGAAAGTAACAAACCTGTTGTGAACTTTTGGGAAATGGAGCACATTGGCTCAAGGGGAAAACTCCAGAGCACAGAAACTGCCCTGCTGTCTGTGCTGGACTGGAGGTGCAGCCACTGTTCCCAATCTCCTGGACAAAGATGAGATTTTTTCCCTTGCCATCCATACTGTGAACCCCTCATCCCTGGCAGTGTCCAAGGCCAGGCTGGGCAGGGCTTGGAGCAGCCTGGGATAGTGGAAGGTGTCCCTGCAMAYGGCAGGGGGTGGCACTAGAGAGGTGTTAAAAGTCCCTTCCAAACCAAATCATTCAATGGTTCTGTGATTCTGTGTCAGGAGAAACATGCCCACGATGGTTCTGAACTGGAAGACAAACCCTCAGCATTCAAAGGGTGAGCACACAGCACAGGATTGTTTCTGCCATTGTTTGGCTTTCAACACTGCTCTAATCCCAGGATTAATCAATCCTCTGAGCTGAGGCTCTGCCAGCGTTTTCATTATTCTGAGACATGTCAAGTTCAGATTAGGAATTAGAAGGGAGTGGTGGTGGTGGTGGAATGTTACCAACTGGGAGGATGTGAGAAAAGTTCAGAGGAGTGAGGTGAAGGAGGAAGGACTCAAGTCCAGCAGAGGCTCAGGCATAGGGAATCTAATTAGTGACAAGATAATGARTGAGAAGGTGAAAAAGTGCCTGCTGCAGAAGCAAAAACTGCAAGTCCAGTTCAGACAWGTCATGCTGGACTCCAGCACACTTTGTTCACCTAGAGATCCTCCACATCCTAGAGTGTCCCAGCATTTACGAGTGAAATAAATCTCAGCCATGAGCACAGAAGAAARCCCCCAAACATTTCCACTCTTCAACCATGTCAAATGTCTCATTTGCTGTGAGGAAGTGAATTTGAAAGGTTGCTTTCCCAGCAGTTTTGTGTCCTGCTGTTTGGTCTGTATACAGCAAGTTCTTTGTTCTCTTCCCAGGGCTCCCAGAACTGGCAGGCAGCCAGTCCCATTTGATTTCATGGGGAAAGTGGACACCAAAGTCAGAAAGCAGAGCAGCATCTTGAAGAAGGTATCAAGGCAGGCAGATAAGAAACCTCCAGGGAGGCAGGAGGAACAAAAACCTACCACAAAAATGGAGGGCCCTGCCAAGGACAGAGCCCCTGATGGCACAACTCAAAAACCTCCTCACGCTGCACAGCATGTGGCACCAGCCTGGTGCTCCTACCCCAGCTTCTCATCCCAGCACAGGAGGAAAGGGCCAAACACCCTGAGCTGCAAACCTTTGCTAAGATGTGGGTTATTCAGGGTGTAGAGGTGGTAACAGACTGGATTTTATCAGACAGGAAAATGAGCTCAAGCATGGGGAATTTTTAAACACAAGCTGTGTGTTGTGAAGGTTGTCAAAGGCAAAAAAATACCACAACAATTTAACTGACATTGAGCAGAGACCCCCCCAGCCCCCAGACTCACCTCAGTGGCCGCTGCAGTGGCACAGGTGTGGCCCTGGGCCCCGGCACACTCCTTCACTGTCAGGGGGTCCACTAGCCACAGGGCCACCGTGGAGGGCCAGTTCCCCCCCAGGTTGGACACGGTGTTGAGCAGGGTCATGTAGGTGCCCCCGATGAGCGGGTCGCTGACCTTGGCGTTGAAGGCCATGATGGCCACGTACATGCTGTACAGGGTGATCTGAGGAGACAAACACAGTGTCCCCACGTGCAGTGACACTGAAAGCCCCAGCATGGAAACCCTGCTGAGAGATCCCCTGAACTCAGCAGCACTGGCTGAACATCAGCCCAAGAGCAGCAGTTCCTCCTGCAGCCTGGCCCTGTGTTAGCACAGGGAGCGGCCTCGCCATTTGTGCAAGTCAGGCTGCAACAGACCCAGCCTCACCTGCACCAGCATGACWGGGGTTATCCAACTGAAATACAATCAGCCAGCTAAAATAGCACCTCAACACAGCACTTCTGCATTTAAAAGCACCTCTCAAGGCACYGCATACATTTCAGCTCTGATCCAAAGACCACGCTGTTTCAGGTGTTAGTTTTCCAAGTCTTTGGATCAGATCCATTATGATGCTACTCCAACAATCAAGTTTTTTTGCTAGGACCAGGATCACATAACTTTATGGATCTGCACAACCAGCACATTCAGCACYGTGCCTATCAAGCTCAGACACAGCTCTGGGATTTCTCCAGCTCCTCTGTGCTCTTGAGCTTCTAGGTCTGGGGAAAAAGGAATCTGGGGAATTACACCAGACCTGTAGTAGCTCCACAGATGATGTCCAATGGAGCACAGGGAATAGGGAGAAACAACACTGGCAAGAGTGTTTGGAATCAACAGCAGCCACACAGCACAGATCAGGCTCAGAGGGATTCCAGTGACCCAGGACAAGGCAGAAAACAGCATTTCCCCTCCCCACAGAGTGAGTGCTACCTGGTGTAGAGCATAACTCAGCACCACCACAGCGTAGTAGTAGACAGGAAATCCTCCTTCRTGCTTTACTTTAGGAGCCCACCACACCAGAAAAGCAAATTCCAGGCCAAGCAGTAATCTGGAGGGACRAGAAAGAGGATTTGTAATTCCAGGTAATTCTTTCCATGTGTTYGACACAAAGCAATTACTCAACATTTATAGAGTACATCAAAATAGTTTAGATTTGAATAGTTTCAACTATTTCTATCTCAGAATTAGRTATTAAATGTTTGACAAGCATTGTTAAGTAGGAGCAGGAGAGCACTGCTCTAATGCTGCTGTACATGCACCTCACAAACACCTCATGCTCTGCTTTCACACGTGACACTGAATGAATTGGACAGTTCAACTCACTGTGAGGATCCTGACACACTTCTTTGGACCTGGAAGTCAGAGAGTTACACAGGAGACCCTACATGTGATCTGAACACACAAATTGAGCACACAAATTACTGTGTTTCCCTACAATGAGGTGTTACCTGTAAGGCATTGCTTTGTAGAAGGTGTTCAGGGGCTGGGGGCCCGCTGTGTATTTGCTGATAACCAGAGGCAAGATGATCTGCAAAGGAACCATTGGAACTGCCAGCAGAGCCAGGTGCTCTTTGGGGATCCCCTCTTCCACCAGCTTGAGTCCTGTTACAGCATCTGCTGCTGAAAACCCAACCTGCAATGTCAACGAGACAAAATGAGCTGAGGAGAGCAGGGAGTTGAGCTAGAAATTCAATGCACTTACTAATAAGTAAATTGAGAAATGGGGTAGAGGACAGGCCACTTCTGCCTTTGATTTGATTTCCAAGTTAGTTCTACATGTTCTGCACTTGCACACTCTTATTGTCATCAGCACCAGAAGTATCCCAAGAACATTACACAGCACTGCCATGCATTCCTGTGCCTTATCTGCTGTTGGCATCCATGATGTCCAACAAAGAGCCATGGAAACCCAGACTGGGCAGAGCTGGGCATTCTGACAGTTAAAAACTCTGACTGGAGTTAAAAAGAAACATTTTCTGGCCTTTTAACTGCAGGCTACGCAGCCTGTCTAAAAATGCACTTGGATACCACACTGCCAAAAACTTCTCTTCAAAGCTYGTGTTAAATATAAAAGCTCAAACAAAGCTTTTCTGCACAACCCTGCTCAGCACAATGAGATCAGCTGTTTTGTTTAAATTTCATGTGAAGATACACAACTGCGATGACAGCCAATAGCAAAACTAAGAAATAAGTTACATCCCAGGGACTCAGCAACTTTCCAGACTCTGATGCCAGCATTTAACAGTTCTCAAGTGTATTTACTTACTTTTGATGTGAGGATCAAGAGACAGAAAGTAAGAACTGCTGGCATCTTGATTATTGAGAATAGCAGCCTGTATGTGTCAGTGATGCCTTTTGTTTCTTCCTTTGCTGGTATCAGCTCCTGGTTTTCCTTCTTCAGAAAGGCAACCAATGTAGTGGTAACTAAAAACACAGCACCCCAAAAGAACAGGAAATCTGGAGGGGAAAATAAAATAAAATATAAACTTCTTTGTAGCAGCCATTATTGACAGTTGTAAAATATAAACCTAATAATCAAAATGGAATAAGAACAAGCAGCAAAAGCAAACCACAAGCACAGAGCTGCACACAGTGAGTGACACAGCTCTTCCCTCCTCTGTAAGGTGTTTGCTGGAGCTGAGGCAGAGGAGCAGGAAACCAGGTCACCTCCCTGCTGTTTGGTGGGATATTACCRCAGTGGTGGAGGAGAAACAGAAACAAAAATGAGTGTGTTGACACACACAACCACTAACGGCTGATAAAGGAGGAAAAACCACATGTAACAGAGGATAGGGAAAAACCTTCAAGGAGGAATTCCTCCCCAGCTGCCTTTGTGGGACCACTCTGTGCTCAGCTCTACGTCCCCATCTAACATCCACCTCCCATCTGCAGGAAACAGGGATTTAGGAGTGTGAAGGTGGCCTGAGGAAGGTTTATACAGAGCTGTAGGGAGTCCTCAGGTATGTCTGGCTGAAGTAGAGACTTGCCAGTGCTCAAGTCCTCTGTTTTAAGCAGATCAGTATCTGCTAAATTGTGGGTGTGAGTGCAGCCATGGTAAAACCACACCAAGCCAGTGCTTTTTGATGTAGTCAATGGTYAATTTGAGATAATCCTATTCTCTGCCTCTATGGCAGAGGCAGGGAAGACCTCAGCCATGTGCACAGGGTAGGACAGAAGCAGCTTTTAATCTTTCTGGTCACGAGCAACCCCAGCAGCCTCCAGGAGACTTGAAAGGAAGCAGTGAGGGCTGGTGAAAGGGCAGAGACAGTGCAAAGGTTCGGTCAATGACTGCCTGCTTCTCATGCACAGGAGGAGAACAGGCTCAGCAAGCACGGCAGAAAATGTGCAAGGATTGCTCTAAGTGTATCCTGCCATTCTCAGGGTAACAAAAAAACCTCTTCAAGCAAAAAAACCTCTTCAATTTCTTTGCCCTTTCCTAAAATAAACATGACCTCATAACCAATACACAGATCACTCTCAGAAAAAGTGCCCTAAACGGACATTTTCAAGGAAAGATGTATTTTCTGGGAGTGTCACTAATCACAGCTGCTGGCTACAAAGGACACAGAGGAGCAGTTCTCTAATAACCCTGAGCAATATCACTGCAGTGAGAGAAACACAGTGCAAGGATGGGGATAGAAATAGCTCTGAGCATCATCACATGAGTGCTCCTGATCAGGCCAGCCCTGTCAGCTGCAGCACAGCACTGCAGGGGCTGCATCAGCAACAAAGCAAGGCAAGAAAAAAAAAAAAGCACCATATATATATAGTAGATAAGAAAAATTTGGGCTTTTGACGCTGTAGGCAATTTACACAAAAATAAGGTACATTTCCTTTCAAACACAGTGAACTCACACTAACAGGATACAAGTAAAAGAACTTTGCAATTATAGTTTACACAAGGAATTTCAARCACAAACTTTCAGGTCTCACCACTGCTGCCTTTCCCATCCCTATTTTGTCATTGTTGTTAACAAAATAAACCACYGAGATGGGGCAAAACAAGTTTTTGAACTAGGTCAGGGATGGATCAGGCTGGAAAACATCCRTGAAGGTGGTCCCCAGGTGGTACAGGTCCCACCAGCTCTAACTGTACAGGTACACWGGATCCCCTCCCAGGAGAAGGGGTGCTCCACAGTCCCTGGCACAGGTATGTGGGCACCTTCAAGGGGCACCTTTGTCCTGTGCTCACTTCTCTCTCCTGCTTCAGGCTGGAAAAGGCAAACCAGGCAGGAATCACAAACCCAGCCAGGGAACTTCYCCTGCTTTTAAAAAAACAAAAGTCACCTGAACAGCAAGTGCTAAATAAACTCCTGGAGGTGCCAGGACAATCAGCCCACAGAAGGGCATTTGCCATTTCCTTCTCTGGCAGTCCAGACTGAAACATCCCAACACAGCATTTGGCTTAATGAATCCAATGATGGGTTTACATTTGTCCATATTATTTCCTGAAGTTAATGGGAACAACCAATGCTGCTGCTTCTAACAACTCAGAGCTGACTTGGGATCACAGAATATCTTGAGTTGGGAGGGACCCACAAGGATCACCCCAACTCCTGGCCCTGCACAGGASWWTCCCTGTGCCTGAGGKTGTTGTCCAAACACTCCTGGAGCTCTGGCAGCCTCAGCCCATGCCCATTCCCTGRGAAGCCTGAGCAGTGGCCCAGCACCCTCTGGGGGAAGAACCTTTCCTTGAGATCCACCTAAACCTYCCTGACACAGCCCCAGCTGCGCCCTCGGGTGCTGTCCCTCTGGATCATGGAGTGTTGACTTGTTCTTTCCTTGGCACTGGGCTCAGCCTATGACAGAACTACTCAGATATCTGTGCTGGCAGAAAACATTCACCTTTTCCAGCACGGAAGTTTTCTGCTGCTTTACCTGCCCAAACCTGCTCATCACGAGTCCATTAGAGCCAGGGCAAGGACCAGTGAGCCCCCGTGCTCCTTGGTGAGCTGGTTACTGCTGCTGCTCTCAGCTGCTCCAGGGAAATACCAAACTGTGCCATAGTCACATGAACCAGGAACCAGAATTTTCTTACAGTTTTACCACCTGAAAAACCATATCCTGCAACTACACAGTCAGTTATTTGCTGTTCTTACTCCACTCSCATCAGTACTCCAGGGCAGATGAAGAAGTTGCCATTGGTGCTGTTTAGGTTTGGAATACTATTTTTTTTTAAAACAACATTTTTGTAATAGTAACAAACCCATTTACACAAACAGCGCAGAGAGGAAAAAAACCCCAAGAACCAAAACTCTGGGCAGGGAGGGAAGTACAGCCAAGCCAAGCTCTCTGAACACCAGTCCTGCAAGTTGCATCAGCAGCAAAGACGTCAGTGTGCACTGCAGTGAGAGGGAAGGGACAYGCCAGCCCAGGAGCTGCACAGCACCAGGGAAAGCCAGGAACCTGCTGGGATACTTGGAGGACCTCTCTGTGCCCCTTGACACAGACCAGGCACGAGGCTGGCAGCAGGGAGGAAAGAAGAGGACTAGTTAGCAGTGGTAATAGCTGTACAGACAAGGCAAGCATAGCAATCTTGGAAACTGCTGTCCCGGGTTACCCCTGAGGAAGGGCAGGACAGAAAGCAAAACTACCCTTTCCACAAYAATTCCAGCCTGTTCTGGCATACCTGATCCCTGAGATGGCACAGCAAGGCAGTCAGTGTGAGAGGGAGAATTAACCAGGGAAGACTGAAACCATGAGGATCTGCTCTSCACCGCCAGGGTCACCCTGACACTGCAGCCAGAAGTGCCAGATACCCTGTGCACCCTCAAACTTGCAACCAAGCCTGGTGCACTTCACTTGAAGCATCTCCTGGGTAACACCCCTAACATCAATTACCACAGAATATCCTCTTGAGAAACATCCCAAACAACCCAAACGCCAGCAAATAGAACCATCCCTAGACTAACAGCTGGTTATGCTTGGATTACCACACTTCACTTAATTCATTAAAGAGAAAAATCAAATCCCCCTTAATTTACTAAAATAAGGCCTTCTTTCAGAAACTGACCACATGCTCAACCCTGAACATTTTCACTTCTACTTCTGTGAAAAATGTCCTATTGGAAGATCTTTTTTTTTTTYCCCCTTTTCTTYCTCCCAGAAGGAGATTCTGGCTTGCTTTCTTTAAAGAGTAAACTAGTCCATTGGCCATTAAACCAGGAGGAAAAAAAAAWTCCTCCAAAGTGCTTAGGTCAGCCAAGATAATGACAAGGCAGGTTTCTCACACACTTAAACCCAGAGAAATCTGAAGTCCAGTGCAYGCACAATGGGCTCTGCCAGCCTCCAAGCAGGCTGTGCTTTCCCACAGGGCAAGGGACAAACCAAACCTGTTTGGTTCCCAGCGTCAAACAGAGGGATCCAGGGTCAGGGAAGAACCATCCTGAAGAAGACATAACCACTATTATTAGGAAGAAATTCCTTCCTGTGAGGGTGGGCAGGCCCTGGCACAGGGTGCCCAGAGMAGCTGTGGCTGCCCCTGGATCCCTGGCAGTGCCCAAGGCCAGGCTGGACATTGGGGCTGGAGCACCCTGGTCAATGGAAGGTGTCCCTGCACAGGGAATCTTTCAGGTCCCTTCCAAACCGATGCATTCCACGGCTCTATCCCCGCAGAGCCAGACTGCGGTGCCCCGGACATACCTGAGAGGGTGACGATGCCCCGGGGCTGTGGCTCGAACCGCAGGTACTTGTTGCAGAAGGAGGCGGACTCGAGGGCCAGGAACAGGACGTTTCCCAGGAAATAGCCGGCCGTCTGCCCCACGGAGTTGCAGGTGGAGGCGTAGCCCACGTTCTCCCGGGACAGCATGGTGAGCGCCCAGCCGTCCACCGCGATGTCCTGCGTGGCCGCCAGGAACTCGAAGAGGAAGAAGGTGACGGTGAGGGCCGCCACGTCGGGGCCGCGGCCGTGGCCGTCCCCCAGCAGCGCGTCCACCTGCGTGGACATGTAGATCATGAAGAGCCCCAGCACGTACTGCGTGGGCACCAGCCACGACTTGCGGCGGCCGAAGCCCCGCAGGTACACGGCGTCCACCAAGGGCGCCCACAGCAGCTTCAGGCTGAAGGGCCAGAACACGAAGCTGAAGAAGGCCTGGTCGGTGTAGCTGGCGTTCTTGCTCTGCAGGATGAGCGGCACGCTGCCCGCCAGCCCCAGCGGGATGCCCTGCAGCACGTACAGCACCAGCAGCAGCAGGATGCTGCCCAGCTCCGCGCGGTACCCCCGCGCCCGCGCCGGCGCCGGCAGCAGCGCCTCGGTGTCCCCGGGCAGCCCGTCGGGGGGCGGCTCGCACGCCAGGTCCAGGCTGTGCTGGCGGGTGCCGGCCCGGCGCTGCCGGCCGCCCTCCTCAGAGGCGATGGCGGGCGCCATGTCCGGGAGCGGCCCGGGAGCGGCCCCGGAGCGGGCGGGAACGGCCCGGGAGCGGCCCCGGAGCGGGCGGGAACGGCCCGGAGCGGCCCCGGCGCCGCCGCGCTGAGGGAACCGCCCCGCCCCGAGAGCTCCAGGCGTGGCCGCGCCTCATTGGCACACTGTGAGTGAAGTCACGAATAGCCACGCTCCCTGACCCTGATTGACGGGCGGGGACAGCGGCACCGGGAACCGGGATCGGCGTTCGAATGCGGACCGGGATCCCTGGGGCATCTCCCTGCCCGGGAAAGGCTGAGACAGCTGGGGCTGCTCAGCSTCCAGAGGAGCCCCAGCCCAGAGGGGCCCTCAGCTCTGSCTGTCCCTGTGYGCAGGGAGGGCTCCGAGCAGGGCCCAGCAATGGCATCCAAGGAACGGGCAGGACCTGATGCYCAGGAAGYTCCCCCTGGACAGGAGGAAGATCTCTCCTGTGTACCCTGGAACAGAGACCAGAGAGGGGTGGWGTCTCCTCACTGGAGATATTCCAGATCTATCTGGACACAGTCCTGTKCCAWGTGCTCYGGGATAACCCTAYTTGAATGACAATGTACRTAGAACTGTAAAAGAATGACACCATCCCGAAAAACAAGACCAAAAAATCCGATTTGGAACAAAACCTATACATTTATATCGGCCTGGAATCTGATAGCAGAACCAGACGCTGGTGTGTGATTTCATCTTAACCTGAATTCCGTCAATCGCCCCTTTCTTCATTCATTCCCTCTCTTTAAACTGATATTCAGGGAAAGGCATCAAAACCACCTCGGGGCCCCTCCAGGAGGGTTCCACGAATGCAGTCACCTCCCCCGGTGTCCGCTGGGGAATTCACCGAGCAGGCACGGCGGGCTCAGTGTCCACGGCCAGCTTGGACGGGGCTTGGAGCACCCTGATCTATGGAAGGTGTCCCTGCCCGCGGCAGGGGGTCGGACGGGATGGGATTTAAGATCCATCCCAACCCAAACCAGCAGTGATCCCATGACACCAGAGAACGCTGACGCACAAAAACCCGCTCACTGCAAAGTTCTGATTGCTTTTACCCTGCAAACGAACCAAAACCAACCCCCGGAGCCCAAACCGCACCATGGTGTGCCGGGACGTGCACGGGGCTCTCCGGGAGCGGGCGGGCCGTGTCCCCGCCGTGTCCCCGYCGTGTCCCCGCATCCCACACSGCCCTGACCCGGCGCTGCTCCGCCCCTTCCGCCGGAGCGGCCGCGCCGGGCGGCTCCTCCTCCCGCGGGCGGCATTAGCTCATCGCGGCGCGGCGGCCGCGGCTCCGAGCGGCCCTTTCTTCGCGCTGCCCGCCGCCCCCATGGCCCTGTGCAACGGGGACACCAAGGTCAGTGCTGCGGCCGCGGGGCCGGGGGTGCCGCCCGGGGAGCCCTGCCCGGCCCTGCCCGCCCGGCCCGGGCACATGGCGGGGCCCCGCGGCCCGGGAGCGGTGGGGAGCGGGGAGCGGGACTGCCCGCGCCGCCCCGCAGCCCGACTGCTCGCAGGGCGCTGATTAATTCATTCACTGATGCGTTCTCCGGGCAGGGCTCCGGCGGGGCTGTTGTGCGGCTCCCTGCCCGGCCTGTGCCGCGGGGGCTGCCCGGGTGTGTCCCCGCCGGCCGGGACGGACCCCGCTCGCAGCCGGGGCCGGGGGTTCGGTTCGTTCAGCAGAGCGGGCACAGCTCCCTTCTCCCGGGGTCCCGCTGCAGCCACGGGAACGGGACACACGCCTGTCCGTGCCTGAGGAACTCACAGCTCTTGTTGATAATGCAGCTTCTTAGCCAAACCCTGCAAGCCGTTTCGARTCGCTTCTGTAGCAGGGTAGAAGCCTTGTTCTGGGTTTTTTATCTGGTTTGCAATAAAACGTGACTCGGGCGGAGGGTGAGTGCTCGGATAGTTGGTCCCTGTATGAAGTTTTCTAGCCCGCTTTTCTTTGGTGGTGYTCACAGCCTCCTTTCCCGCCCGGGGCTGCTTCCTCTCCTCCCTTCTTCTCGGCTCTTTATGTAGTGTGCAAGAAGCCATGACTCTGAAGGTTTTTTTGAGTGCTCAGTTGGTCCCTGCACAAGTTTTCAGACACGCTTTTCCCCGGCCATGGTCACAGCCWCCTTTCCTGCTCTTGGGGGTTCCCGTTCTCTCTCCCAGTGCTGGTGATGGGGTGTGGAGCTCATGGTTTATCCTGCACGAGTGACGGAGCAGTTCGTGCAGGAACCAGGTCCCAGCAGCCACGAACACCTGCATGAGCCTTACAAAATTTCCCTGGGATAATGGGCTGGGGGTTCCTGTCTCGGTCTTGGAGATGGCTTGCGTTTGAGGGAGCTGCTTTCCTGTTATACTTGGAAGTATGCGTGAGTGTTCTTAGACCTGCTTAATTTTAATACCACAGGGAAACAATTAAAGTCTTGTAAAACCTGTGCTGGCTCGAAAGTGCGAGATCAAGGCTCCTGTTTTAGGCTTGTCCTGAGTTATTAGTGTGSGTGAAAGCTGAGGGCTCGGACAGAGGAGCTGCTGCTGCTTCCCAGTACTCTGCAATGGGACCGGTCTGGAAATGTGATCTATAAATTGCATTAATGACCGACCTGCGAGCATGTGGGTATGTGAAATGCTGAAATATCCCCTGATTGTGCACAAGTGGGCTGTTAGGAACCTGCCCAGTCAGTTTAAAGCACTAGGCAGGTATGTGAGGAATAGAATTTGTGGTGTCCCTGGCTGGTAGTGCAATCCTGGTGMCATTCTCCTACCACAGCTCCCCACAGAACTCGGAATTATTTGGGTTTGATACCAAAGGAGCAGCAGTGATGAAARATTTTTGTCCTTCAGTGTTACTTTGGCAGAGTTGAGGTGGTGGAAGGAGGCTGCCCCTTGGTGTGGTAGCGCAGCCAGGGCGGCCACCATGGCCTGGGTGGCACCGGGGACCCTGGTGCCATGTCTCAGGTCTGTGGTTTTCAGGGTGACTTGTGATTTGAATTMGCTGAATAGAGACTTTCCTCTCCCGGTGTGCACAGGTTTTTATTCCTGTTTTTAGTCTTGCTCTTGGGCCACCAGCATGATGCCTCTCCCCAGTCCCTGGGCTGCCTGGGACAGGTGTCAGAGCAGCTTCCACAGGAGGCCTCAAAACCTGCAACTTCTCCAGATTTTTGTGAGAATAGACCAGGAGACAAAGAACTCTGGTTACACCTGTACTGAGGGGAAAAAGAGCTTCTGCTAGAGACTGCTCAGTCGGSAGCAGAAAGAGGTGCTGGCTCCGTAAGCCCCGTCCCTGCAGGAGCTGGGCTGTCTGGTGTCCTCTTAATCTCTCCTGGCACGCCTGGGGTGAGCAGAGCTCAGCTGCCATSTTGGCTGTACATGAACAGCATCTGTTCCTTTTTGGATTTCATTAAATGAAATTYCCCTTGTTAAATTTGGGTTTAAAACCCCTAGCCTTGGAACGGTGCCTTTAAGTAAGGAAAGCCAGATCCTCTGCTGGCTTTTGCCTTTTTTCCTTCCCTCTTTTTGCCTGTGATTTATGGTAGTGTATGTCGGGCTCTCTTAGTCCTGAACCTCCTTATAGTTTTACTTGTCTGGTTGATTCAGAGGAGCCTGGATCGCTGTCCTGGCTCTGGGGGAGGTCCAGGTTCAGCATTCAGACTCGCTTATGCTTCTCTGACAGTGTTTTTCAAGCTCCTCCTGATGTAACTTGGAGCCCCTTCTGTTTGCACACTCMTGTCTCCCCCACAGATGTTGCTCATGTCCTGTTAATCACACCTGCCCAAAACATCTTGGGGTAGGGCACTGAAAACCAGGYTTATTTATTAGCTACAGGTGTAAAGGCTTGGCCATCAGTCCAGCCCAGCTGAGGCCAATAGTAACTCCTGTTTAGTCTTTTTGTATGAGAGGGCTGCAGAGTTCTGTCCCTGAATGACACAGCCTACTGCTCTGAAACAATTAAGGACTTGAAAAAAGAAGAAACACTACAAGGAATTGTGTTTTCCCCAAGATGGGCTCAGGAAAGAATAAGGACATTGGTCTACCTTGCAGGAGCTGCTAATTTAGAATTTGCCAGGTGAAAATGCCCAGAATCACTGTAAAAGTGATTGCCTGCCATGCACTGGGAGGGGGGGGGTCAGTTCTGGTGACTCTRWCTGGGGGGGTRAAGGGGCCTTTGCTGCCRRAGTCTGCTCTCTTTCACCATGTGYGCTTTTGGTTGTGTAACCCAGGGCTAAAAGTCAGTAACAGCTCCCCATCAGGCAACTTGGCTGCCAGCTGAAGGACAAAAATTAAATATGTGATTTCAACCTGGATTTAGGCTTTTGAGGGATTTAGCGCTGTTTTTTTTTACCCACTTATGTTCTTTAATTAAGATAAAACCTCTTCCAGCTGGTGTGAACTTTGGAAGTTTCCGGTGTGTTTTTTGGGAGATTGTGTCCCAGCAGGATGATGCTCTCCAGAATCACCTGTGGYTGATCCAGGGTGAATTCCTGCCCCAGTGGAAATGCCTGAGCAGCAGTGATGGGAACACAGGCTGGTCCTGGACTGGAGATTCTGCTGCCTGGATTAAACATGCAGAACACTCCAATGTGCCACCAGTAGAACCTGAAATGAGGCTCCAAGATGTTTGGAGGCAGTGTTTGCCCAAGYCAAATGCTTCCCAGCTTTTCCTTCACCAAACTGCATTGGTGAGGAGACAATGTAAGCTTTAAGTGAGGGGAAGAACACTCCAAAAGAAGTAAATTCTTCAGGCAGCGACTGTTTAGTGTGGTTGTTCATTCTTCCTTGGAGTTCCTCTGATAAGGACGCTCCCAATAGCTGCCTCCTTCCACTGTTTTTTTTTAAGGAAGAAACTTGGCCTTGTGTTTTTTAGCACTCTTTCAGATTTAGTCAAAGCTGGCCAGGCAGTTCAGATGTGAGGGGCTCAGAGAGAACTGCTGCTTTGTTCTGACATGCAGTCTGCCCAAATGCTGCATTCAAAATGTGTTAGGTTTTTTTTTAATCATTTAGCAGCAACATTTGTTCTCAATTTCCCCCTTTTATTCTCTCCAGGAGGTCATGTCAAGTGAAGTTCAGCATATGAGGCAGCATGATGGGGAAAAACATTTTTTGTTTGATTTTGTGCTGTTTTGCCTGAGAGGAAGGCTCGTGCTCTCAGTTCTCATGGGCTGTGCTGGGGTTTGTGTGGAACTGGAAAATGGAAAAGGATGGAGAGGCTGCAGATGGTGAACAGGGCATATGAGCTCTTCCTGATGGGAAGCTTGCCTTCATTAGATCATTAGCATTTTCCTTCCCTAATTTGTGCCCTGTTTGGTTTGGGGGATGGGGATGTCATGGCTGTGTGGCTCCTGGTGTCCAGCCCCTTAATTTTGCCAGTGCCTCTACTGCTCCTCATAAACTTCAAGTTGGTTTTTTTTGGTTTGTTTGTTGGGTTTTTTTTTTTTCATTTTGAAGTTTCTTGGCTGATCTTCATCATTTTAATCATAAATTAGCATTGCTAATTAGCAAAGCATTGCACGTGTTAGCTGTTAAAGAAATCTGGCTTAGTCACTGGGCTGCTGGTATAAAACCAAAGGAGGTTTGGGCTGGATATTTGTGAAAATGTCTTCACAGGAAAGYGTTGGAATGGGCTGCCCAGGGCAGTGGTGGTGTCACCATCCTCTAGAGGGTTCAGAAAATGCGTGGGAGCGGCCCTTGGGGTGGTGAGCGCGGTGGTGGCGTTGGGTGTCCRGCTGGCCTGGGTGCCCTCAGAGGCATTGTCCAGCCCGGTGTTCCTCGGTATCACTGACACAATGGGTGCTGTTCACAGCCCGAGAACGCCGCGGCGGAGCTCAAGGATGGGCAGCACCACTACGAGGGCGCCGTGGTGATCCTGGACGCGGGTGCCCAGTATGGCAAAGTCATCGACCGGCGCGTGCGCGAGCTCTTCGTGCAGTCCGAGATCTTCCCGCTGGAGACACCGGCCTTCGCCATCAGGGAGCAGGGATTCCGGTATGTCCTGCCTGTGGCTGTCCCTGCTGCCCATCCCTGTGAGCTGTGCCCGCTGCCAGGCTCTGTGCAGAGCTGTAACTGCAGTGTTCATGGTCCTGCCCGTGGCTGTCCCTGCTGCCCATTCCTGTGAGCTGTGCCCGCTGCCAGGCTCTGTGCAGAGCTGTAACTGCAGTGTTCATGGTCCTGCCCCTGCTGCCCATCCCTGCGAGCTGTGCCCGCTGCCAGGCTCTGTGCAGAGCTGTAACTGCAGTGTTTGTGCTCTGCTACCCCTGCTGCCCATCCCTGCGAGCTGTGCCCGCTGCCAGGCTCTGTGCAGAGCTGTAACTGCAGTGTTCATGGTCCTGCCCCTGCTGCCCATCCCTGCGAGCTGTGCCCGCTGCCAGGCTCTGTGCAGAGCTGTAACTGCAGTGTTCATGGTCCTGCCCCTGCTGCCCATCCCTGCGAGCTGTGCCCGCTGCCAGGCTCTGTGCAGAGCTGTAACTGCAGTGTTCATGGTGATCCTGTCAAAGCGGGGCCACAGGAACACCTCAGCTCTGCTGGGGACACCTGGGCACAGATATCCATGTTGTGCATTTGTCTCTCAATAYCTTTTTGTACATTTGTTCCTGAAAGTAATTTCAATAATTTCAATTCCCAAGTGTCATTCAAGAAGGTTGCATTTTACATATCTGCAAAACTTCAGATGCTCTTGCTGTCTTACCTGTTGAACACGGGCAGCTGTTACTCAAAACCGAAAGTTTTGTGCGATTCTAAAAATTATTTTCTATTTTTTTTTTAATTTAACTAACTAACCTGGATACTGAAGATATTGTGAAAAATCATGGCAGACTCTTTCTTAGAGAAGCAGCTAAAAAAATCCCGATTGACACTGTCACTCATTGTTTGCAGCAGAGAAAGGTCTCACAGTTATTTAATTTTTCATGTGCTCTCAGGCTTTCTACGATAGCTGTTTCTTCTGTGTGGGGAGACTAAGTACCCTGAAGTCCATAAATCACCAAAGATTTGTAGTTACTTGTCAGTTTGGTACAAATCCAGAAATGTGKTGCACATGGGATTTTGATTGTGCTCAGCAGCAGATAAGACAGTCCTGCAGAAGTGCATTTTTCCAATCAATGCTAATTAGTGAAGCAGTAAATAGTGTAAGTGTTATGCAGGTTTGTACTGGGAGGAACTTCAGAGCAACTGGAAGTTCCTCAGAGTCCTGGGATTAGACCCGGAGGAGTTGATTGTGAACAATTGCTCTCTAAAGTGTGGCAGACCCTCCTGATCCAGGTCACTTCTCAAGGTTGGGGGTGGTTTCAGGTCACCCAGGTTGGTCAATAACTCTGTCCAGTGTTGGTCAATCAGCAAACCCAGCAGGGTTGGGTGCCTTTGTGCAGTGACCACTGTTAAAGGAGTTGGTGCTTTCA